ACCACTCTTTTGGTTCTAAAGCTTCCAAAATCAGCTCTGTAAGAGGAAAGCCTTGCCTAGAATTATTTTCTAACACATTAACAATGTCACCTGACATTTGTTCTCAGCTAACCAGTGGGAAGGAGCTGCTTCAATACCGAAATATGGTTTTAGAGCCGCGTTCTTGCCAGATCAGATTGGGCTAGTTTATTGCTCTGGGTCTGTTTCTTACTGAGAAGACACAATGAGTCTACACTACTCATATCTCTTAACAAAAAGACATACTTCAAGGGCTGTGACACCTGGAAAAGGGGATTATGAAATATAAAATTTTGGTTTATTATGGCTGAGCCAGCTTGAGTTCATGCCATTTTCTGATCGTTAGTTATCCAAGAACAATCAGATTTCTTTTTTTTTTTTTTTGTATAAAGTTCAGGGTTGGGGGAATGGGAAATGTTAAAACAGGATTTTATTCAGTCTTCCTTAGATGCCAAGTATGGATGACTTTTATGCTTAAGTATTAATTCATAGTCTTGAGGAGCTTTAGTTAAAATTTTAAAAGTACAATTTAATTATGTATTACACTATTATAAAATCTAAGTATGAAACAGCTCAAAATTCAGATTTAAAAGTAAAAAATATAGATAATGCTGTTTTATAAATTTTTGACTCAGTACACTAAGCCTTTCAAAATGACTCAAATCAATCTCAATTTTATTGATTATCCTAAGTTAAAATAATACTAAAAAGTAGGTCCCAATTTGTCTTCTCAAATCTGTCCCTATCTTTCATGTAACATCAGTCACCTTTGAAGCCTTCAGCAGTATCTAATGCCTGAGCTCATTATCCAAAGGTTTTGATTCGGTGTGTTACATTTGTGAAAACTGAGTTATTTTGATACAGAAAGCTGAGAAAACCATTAACTGGAAATACAGGGCGTTCATCATTTTAAGGCAATTTTTTAAGGTTAGCCTTTTCGAGGAGACAAATCTTTGATGGAGGGTGCATAACATTACTGGCCTCTATCCTGCAGATGCTAGCAACACCCTCTCAGTGACAAAATCTTCTCCTGATACTAGGGGCAAAATCAATTCCAGCTGAGAGCCACTGTTCCAAGGACTAAAATAAAAAGTGAAAATAATACAAGAGGTTATAGCTTTTAATTAACACAGGTATTGTGGGGCAGCCATCTCTCCTGGCAATGGAAAAGTAGGTCTAGCCCTAAAATTTCCTGTTCTAGTAATGACATAATCATCCTTTTTCCTACTTATTGGATGCTGGGGATTGAACTCAGGGCCCTGTGCATGCTAAGCACACATTCTTATTACTAAATTCTGCCCTCAGCCTCATAAACCTTTACAAAGCAGCTAATTTTCTATAATCATTTCTGATTTCTCCTCCTATAAATTCCTAGTGTCACTTATGTATTTTCAATGTAATAAGAATTCCCGTCTACCTTCTTGCAAACACTTTCTCCTCCATTCTTTTTTATTTTTTTTTTTTATTTTTTATTTTTTCCGCAAAACCAGGGATTGAACTCAGGTCCTTGCGCTTGCCAGGGAAGTGCTTATTCCACTGAGTCATCTCCCTGGCCTCTCCTCCATTCTTGATGTTCTATATACTTTTATTAAGTTTATATTCAAAAGGCCCCTAGCCAGAGACCTGAGTGATGGCACCAGAGACAATCCTGACAATTTGCTTGCCCCCAGCAACTACACTGTAGTCAAACTAGGCCCCATTCTTTTGTGGGGTTACCACAGCCTTGAAGATTAATATTTCAAAGAATGACCTTTCACTGAATGAAGTATGCCTGTCTGAAGGCAACAAGTCCAGGAAGCAGGAAAACATAACTCCTGTAAATAATGCATGGTGACAGTTCTAACTCTGGATGAGGCTTTTGTTGATGGGTTTTCGCTGGGCACCTAGTAAAGTGCTGCAATGATTTTTAAAGGTCTCTGACAAAGAGATCAAAGGCCTTTAGTAAATGATATTCAAGAGAAATGTTCTACCAATAGGTTAACAATTTATCAAGATTCTCCGAACGCTAAGCTTAGTGCCAAGTCAGCTTAGAGCACTAACTATACATTCCTGGTCTTTACACTATACTTTTGGCTTCTGTCCATAGAATAAAACAGCCACATATAGGATAATACATGTCAATATCAGTGATTTCTTTTTTTAAAATTTTATTTATTTATGTGGGGGGGGGCAGCTCAGCCCACCAGGGGGCGGGGCTGGCTGGCATGTGGTGCTGGGGGATTGAACCGCGGTCCCTGTGCTTTGCTAAGCTTCTTCTAAGTAGGTGCCTTAGACCACTGAGCCATCTCACCAGCCCC